TTAGCATCACAGCTGGAGATAGGGTAGAGAATGCTTTATTTAGAGAGACAGGAGAGTAACCAGGCGGAGAGGATGGAAATGGAGAGAGGAGACACAGCGAAGATGCAATACTGTGTGGGTACATGGAGATACCTGACAGCATGGGAAAAGAACAGGCATCCAGGCAAGCCAAAAATAGCTAGTGTATGATTTCTAAATATAAGTCAACTTGTGGCAAATGAGGCCTGAATCAGCGTGTATGCTACAGATTTTTCCAAATACACGTGCATTTCACCTAAACCCTTTCAGCCGCAGAAGACATGAAGAATGTATTTTCCCATTTCAGAGAAGTGATAAAAGCACTCAAAGGGTGATCAAGGAGTTATTCTTCTTAGCTTTAAAAATACATTATATTGTGAACAGCTATTTTTACTCTCCAATAACTGGTCTGGATTCATTTTGGTCATATGTCCTAAACACAAACATTTAACACAAACCTGAATTTAGTTTTATCCTTTTTTTTTTTTATCTTCAGAACAATAAATAAGTTTTTTTATGTCAATTACATAATAGTAAAACTAATGTAAAGACAAGTGTTAATATGCCTGAACTAAACTAGACCATCGAAATCACATTACAATGCATTGCACACATACAACTACAAAGAACACCCAAAATTCTATGATCTGCAAACTTAATTTGTTCTAGACTCTAGAACAAAGAATAAAATCTAGAGAATAAAATGCTCAACAAATGTTCTCTAAGCCAATCAGGTGGCAGGATGTCGGACGCGTTGCACACCAGTATAAATTTATTACATTCACGTCTTGAGAAACTCAGATGATGCTGTCTCAATACAGAAAATATATAACCGGTGATGGACCTAGGTGATTGGGTTTTGTTATGTCGTCACGCACAATGTAAAAACATGAAGGAGTGAAGGAATTAGTAGCGTAATTAACATGAACTGGTTCTGTCTACTTAACGACTACCAAGAAAGTGAATAGAGGTGCCATTAACTTATAACATAATCCAGATAGAGTATGTTATTCAAATAGGGTTGACCATTGCTCCAATGCGTGGTTTAGCACATCTACGTTATGGTCTAGGGCAGACTCGATGATTATTCACTAATAGACTGTTGTCCTGGGTTACCGTCCCAAACACAGAATTGTAGCAAAATGGCCAACTTAAACAGTGAATATGTCCTGTTACATTCACTGTATAAAAGGAACACTCCAGGCCCCATAACCATTACAACACTGTTTTTATATGTCATGGTGCTAGGAACGCCCTGGCATCCTTCGATTGTAAATAGTTAAACTGCTTGAGAATGGTTTGACTAACGTATGGTCTGTTGGGGGCCACTCCCGGCCTCTACTACTGCAGACAGAAAGCCAGAAGCTATCTGTGCTAATCCCTGCAGTGCATGGAGTAGCTCATTGGCTGAGAATGATTAGCTGCCGTTCTCAGCCAAAAGCTAATACAGTGTGACTACTAATAATGGGTGGGCTCTATGGCATTCCCAGCCTGCTGTAGTGGTTATGGTGCTAAAACTTCAATATGACCAATGTCAGTTGACTATTACAAACTAACTACAAATAATGTATAGAATTTCTTACGCCAGATTGAAAAAAACAAAAGAAACAATGTAAATAGAAAATAAAATAAAAAAGCACCGCGCAAAGCAGCACATTAACCTAATTTACAATTGTAGCCACCCAGGGGAAGATCACGAATTGTAAAGTCATTAGGACCAATAGAATAACAACCTTCTGTGTTTCAGCCCTGTTTCTTTCCCTACACTGCTCTGCTAATAATGATGTACTGCTGTCAGATGCTCTGTGTCCTTCAGGCATTCATGCAGATCGTTCTGTGGGTCATGAAGCAGTCAGCGGATTTTATGCGTGCCCAACCACAAGCTTAGCTTCTCACGTGAAGACAGCATCTCAAGCACATATCATAGAAACTGCCACGGAGTATCTGCCGAAATAACTTAACCAAAGCAGATTTACTGGCTCACACACAAAATTATCAGATTTATCCGCAAAGCAGCGGCCAACTGCTTGCTCAAACTGTAACATACAAACTTTACGCTGTATATCGCTTATTCTATGTGAACGATTGTAAGCTTGCTGTTACTGTAAGGAACGGAAGACTTTTGCCCAGATAAATGCCAACATACACTTTAAATGGAATGCACAAAGCAGGACTTTGGCAGCGGGCAGTACAGTTTTCCCCAGTATTCTATCTCAGGATGATTACATTCTAAAATGGAATTCTGTAACACTGCCGGTCAATTCAAAATAGACAAAATTCTATTATTATTATTGATATTTATATAGCGCCAGCTTATAATGCAGCGCTTTACATTAAAAATGGAATTTAACAAATGAGACCATAACAAAATGTTACAGGAACAACAGGTAATAGTTTGATCAGCTACAAACTTTACTAACTACATTTTCTAGTAACTGCTCATCAAATCAAATCAAATTCACAGAAAGAAAATAAAAAACAATGTTATTTTAACTAAACATAACCCACTTCTGTAGGGATACTATTACCTATCCTGCTACAGACTTTAGCAGCAAATGGAAATAGACACAGCCACACAGGTGCATAAAAAATTGATGTATTTAAACAACAAAAACAAAAAGACAACAATGACAAACCTCTAATTCACATATAGAAATTGCATGGCGAAAAAATGTAAGGCTATGTCAAGGAAAGGGAATACTTGAAACCAGAAAAAGCATTAAAGGGGCAGTTTAGGCACCATAGAAACTTCATCTAAACTCTAACCTCAAGGGGTTAAACCATTGTCGAATGGTTTAACCCTAAAGTTGCCTCCGGCATCAATATAAAGCTCCGCCCCAAGCGGCATTCGGCTTCTGAAATATCAGGGTCAGCGGATGCTCTCAGTCAATCTATGACTCACCATTCACAACGCTGGCTTGAAAAATGTACGTTTCCTTTCAAGTCAGTTCGAGAACGGTTTAACGCCTTGAGGTAAAGGTAAACTAGGGACCTCCTGGCACCAAAACAACTTCATTTAGATGAAGTTGCTTTGATGCCTGAAGTGCCCCATTTGATTTGCATAACGTTTTCTACATGTAAGCCAGTGTGCAGAAAAAAAAGCAATTGTCATCCTTACAAAACGACATCTATCCTATAAACAAACGATTAGAAAATTACCTGTGTAAGTGGGAGGAGCCCGGGCATGTGTGGTACCATAACCACTGCAGCACATTATGATGCTTGGTGTGTTCTTTTAATACTTTACCAATGCTGGAAGAACCGGATGGCCAAAAGCAGGTGTGACGAAGTGCCCTTCGCCACTTGTGCCTGGAGAGGACTGCTTGCCCGCCTCTTGCCCTGTGACTATGGCCCCTGGGATGTATTGCCCTTTAAAGACATGATTTGGGCATAATGGATTTGTGTTGTGCTGCTGCTGGCCCTTTAAGAACCATCTGGGGACATACTGTGGAGTTACTGGGTGGCCACCATTTCCTGTATCAGAAGCACATGGTGAGAACAATGGATGGCGGCCATTTTAACTCACAGACACTGTTTGGACTTTTCAACACGGTGCCATCTCGCCAGTATTTGGTGCACAGAGACATCGTGCAGTGGTTTTGGACTATACAGCAGGGGACACATTATACAGTAATTGTTTTTCATTTAGCCTGTATATGTTCTGCAGAATCTGCATTAAACTGTATTTTCCAAAGTACTGAACGGATCTGGGTGAATTTTGGATATGTGGTTCACCCAGATCCCCCGGTTCCAAGGATATACTTTTTATGGGGTTATTGCATGTTTTGGGGTCCCTGTGATGTATATTTTAGAAGTTATGAATGCTGTAAAAATTGTAATGTTTCTGGCCAGCAGATAATTGAGCTTTGTGTATTGTAGAAACTCAATTATCTAGCCTGGCCCAGAGGAGGAGTTTTGTGTTGCATAAATTGTGAGTTCTGTGTGCCAGTAAATCAGTCTTGTTCCAGCATTAAGCCTTGGCTCATGTTTGGGGGAAGGGATACGTACACTCTGGGGATTGCTATAATCACTTACTCTCCAGAGGAAGCTCTTGCAATAGCTTGATTTGTTCCTGTTCCTGCTCTCTTCCTGCTCTCTGGGGAAAGAGAGGTTCATCCACTGGAAGCTGGATCCTGGCCTTGGGTCCAGGGTGGGTGGAGACAGCAGAGACCCCGGCGCAGTTGCATCGCTGGAAGTGGGGTCTGCAGTGCTGATGGTGTCGGTTGGAGTGCTTGGGAGTCCTCAGCGAGCACTAGGAGCATCGATTGGCGGAGGTACTCAGTCGGAGTGCCAGCGTTCCGTCACAGCAGGATCCTCAGAGGCCAAGATATTCAACCTGCAATGTTTACTGAATGTGCAGTAATGATTGTGTTGCATCTCTGCATATCACATTAAAAAATGCTTCTGCTTCCGAGAAGATTGAAACAGAGAGTGTTAAATGAGGTCTACTGAATTAAGGGGTGATGATTTTACAAAGAGCGAGCTAAAGACATCACTTCCATTATCCATCTTGACAGTGTGGATTTGGCTACCATACATCCTATATGGTCATGCAGGTAAATCAAGCAAAAAATATTGTATCTATGGAAAGATCCCATAGTTTCAATGTATTTGTGTAGAACCCTTTAACGCCTAGACCAGCGTTTCCCAATTAGTGTTCTGTGGAACCCTAGGGTTCTGTGAGAACAAAATTGGGGTTCTGCTGCGATCTGCCCACGGGTGGACCAAGCATCTAGGGCCATCTGATGGGTATCGCTAAAATCAGGCGCGACGGTCATCTGTCAGTACCTGTGTGTGCTTATCTGTGTGTCAAGGTGTGCATATCTGTCAGTGTGTGTATCTGTGTGCCACTATCTGCCAATGTGTATGTATCTGTACGCCACACACAGATAAACACACTGGCACATACAAACACATTTACATACACTTTGACACACAGATACACACACCTTGACACACAGATACATACACTCACAGATACGCACACACTGTGTGTCACGGTGTGTGTATCTGTGTGCCACTATGTGCTAGTTTGTGTATCTGTGTGTCAAATTCATACACACTGACACAAAGATACACACACCGGCACATACAAACACAGACACACACCGGCACATACAAACACAGATACACACACTTTTACATACATATACACACACCTTGACACACAGATACACATTGACACACAACAGCACATACAAAAAAAGGTTTATGCAACGGCACACTGACTCACAGATACACACACTTTGACAAATACAACCATAGATGATGGTCAAGGTATCTGTGTGTCAAGGTTTGTGTATCTGTCTGCCACTATGTGTGTGTGTGTGTATCTGCATTTTAGATACACATTGACACACAGACACACAACATTTTTTTATTTTTTTTTACTTAGTGTGGTTCCATGGCAAAAAATAATTAGGAACTCCTGGCCTAGACAGTAATCTTCCCTCTCTGTCTTAGTCTTGGGATTGGAACAAAAATTAAGCCAGAATAATTTTATGAGAAATACTGGCAGATGATCACCTTGTCTTCTAAAATTACAGTTTGAAGTGGATTAACTAAAAGAATTGTCAACTCAGAAAATCCTTTTAGCTAATGTGATTGCAATTAAGAAAGCAGTTTAGTGTGTAAGGTTCTGGAGTCTAGAGTGAAGTCCTGCAAAGACCTGACTTAAAGGACCACATAGGCACCCAGACCACTTCAGCTTAATGAAGTGGTCTGGGTGCCAGGTCCAGCTAGGTTTAACCCTTTTTTTCTATAAACATAGCAGTTTCAGAGAAACTGCTATGTTTATCATAGGGTTAATCCAGCCTCTAGTGGCTGTCTTATTGATAGCCGCTAGAGGCGCTTCCGCGCTTCTCACTGTGATTTTCACGTGTGTTAATTTTTGTATATATGTTATAAACCTGTATTGATTTAAAAAATAAAAAAATCTTTATCCTCTTTGCAGACCAATGCACACGCACACACAAACTCAGCGATCCATACACTCATATTTACTGATCAATGCACACACTCACTCACACTCAGTGACTAACACACTCCTATTTAGTGACGCATAGACACAAACTCATTGACCACATGTTGCACAGTTCCACTAACCCTCTTGCCTACACAATCAGTTACGCAGATGTCTTCAGGACCAGCATTAGGTCTAAAGGCTGTCTCCTACATCCACAATGTTGGCCTCCAAGACGCATCATGAAGTCATATGCTGACGGACGACACAGTACATGAAGTTAGAGTTATGTGTATTATGAAGAATAATTGTAATTGGTTAACTCAAGACAAGGTGCTGCAGCAACTAAAGAAAGTTAATATAAACAAAGCTCCAGGGCCTGACGGTATCCATCCACGTGTACTTAAGGAACTAAGTGTAGAAATAAGCGAACCTCTGTTTTTAATCTTTCAAGATTCTTTTCTTTCAGGAAGTGTTCCGGAGGATTGGAGGAAGGCAGATATGGTTCCTATATTCAAAAAGGGTTCAAAATCCTTGCCTGGAAATTATAGACCTGTGAGCTTAACTTCTGTGGCTGGTAAAATATTTGAAAGGTTATTAAGGGATAATATTCAAGAATTCCTTGAGAAGAACATGGTTATCAGCAAAATCAGCATGGTTTTATGAAGCACAGGTCATGTCAAACTAACTTGATTGCGTTCTACGAAGAAGTAAGTAGAAGTATAGATCAGGGTGTTGCCGTGGATGTGATCTATTTGGATTTTGCCAAGGCATTTGATACAGTTCTACACAATAGATTAGTGTTCAAACTCAAGGAAATCGGTCTAGATGAAAATGCTTGTTCTTGGGTAGAACATTGGCTTAAAAACAGGATGTACAAAGAGTTGTCATTAATGGTAAATTTTCAAGCTGGACAGAGGTGGCAAGTGGTGTCCCTCATAGGTCTGTTCTGGGACCCCTTCTATTTAACATGTTTATAAATGAGCATGAAGACAGCATTGAATATCATGTTTCAGTGTTTGCAGATGACACAAAACTTTGTAAAATAATACAATGTGAGCAAGATATTACTTTGCTGCAGAGGGATTTAGATAGACTGGGGGACTGGGCACTCAAATGGCAGATGAAATTTAATGTTGAAAAATGCAAAGTTATGTACTTCGGCATAAAGAATACACAAGCAACGTATACCCTTAATGAAAGCAAATTAGGGATAACAACACTCGAAAAGGACTTGGGAATTGTTATAGACAACAAACTATGCAACAATGTGCAATGTCAATCAGCAGTGGCCAAGGCCAGTAGGGTATTGTCGTGCATGAAAAAGGGCATTCATTCTCGGGACGAGAATATCATTTTGCCTCTTTATAAATCACTGGTAAGACCCCATATTGAATATGCTGTGCAATTTTGGGCACCTGTTCTAGAGAAGGATATTATGGCACCAGAAAAAGTGCAGAGGCGGGCTACAAAATTAATAAAAGGAATGGAACATATCAGCTATGAAGAAAGGCTAACAAATTTAAACCTATTTAGTTTAGAAAAACGTCGCCTGAGAGGGGATATGATAACATTATACAAATTTATTCGGGGCCAATACAAATCATTGTGTGGATATCTATTCACAAACCGGACTTTACATAGGACACAAGGCCATGCGTTTAGACTGGAAGAAAGTTGATTTCGTCTAAGGCAAAGAAAAAGGTTTTTTTACTGTAAGAACAATCCGGATGTGGAATTCTCTGCCTGAAGAAGTGGTTTTATCAGAGTCCATACAGATGTTCAAACAGCTACTAGATGCATACTTGCAAAAACAGAATATTCAAGGATATAATCTTTCAATCTAGGGTAATAACTGCTTGATCCAAGGATAAATCTGACTGCCATTCTGGGGTCAAGTCACTAGGAGTGTGTTAGTCACTGAGTGTGAGTGAGTGTGTGCATTTTTTTCCTAGCTTGTTGCAAAATTGTGCTTCAAACTGGGTTTTTTTGCCTTCTTTTGGATCAACAGCAAAAAACAAATGTGAGGAAGGCTGAACTTGATGGACGCAAGTCTCTTTTCAGCTTTGTAACTATGTAACTATGTAATGAAGAGCAGAATGACCTGCTGTCGCTTCTCACAGCTGTGACCTGTGGCCAGCAAGCAGGTACATAATGGTACCTTTAGCATGCGTGCCAACAGAGAGACCTCTGTGTTCCAGCAGTAGCATGCACGCTTCGGGCATGGTTTAAGGCTGGTGTTATGAGAAGCTTAAGTTAATATTTGTAGGATGGGTAAAAACATTTGCCCTTGAGTTGAAGGTCTTGGTCTTTTTTCCATCTAGAAACGCCTTTGTTGAGGAATGTGCCTTTGCTTTAAAGTTTCTGCTAGCATGTTGTCTACACCTCTGATGTCAATCTGGAAGAACCCTCTCTGCCCATTCAATAGTGCTCCTTGTCAACCAGGATAATAGTTGAGACCTATTGCTGCCTTGACTTCTGATAAAGGCCCCCTGTTGATGACAGTCAGAGTGAATTAGAACTCGGCAGTATGCTAGGTGAGACTTCTGCAGTCTTGGTGTCATGCTTCAAAAAACACTGCTACATAATTCATTGCTTTCTTAGCCCTTCCAGAAAACTGGAAATTGAGAACACATTTCCTGTGTGGATTATAAATTGATGGAATGCATGCAGCCGCATGCTTTCCAACCTCATCTCCGACCAGCCATGAAAGCCAAGGAGACCTATTCTCCTTCCTCATGGACCTTTGACCAGTTCTGGATCCCTGAAAGAACAAGAAAAACCATAGTAAGCAGGCGCTCGTCTGAGTCACAGAAGGATAAGTGTATACTGGGTTGTAGTTGCATCTTAAAAAGTATGAAAGGGACGTGCTAGCCACCTTGAAGTTTAGCTACATAATTGACAATACAGAAAAATAAAAGGCAGTGCACTAATATCAAAGCAATCAATTAGAACAATATTTGCCAATAAAATACTAAAATATGAGTTACTCCTAGTGTATTCGAGGAAGCAAAGGGTTTATGACAAATTTTAGTGTGCATGCTTCAATGACAAATATTTGACAGATATTGGCTTAGGTAATGGAAAAAAATCAATCTTTAAAATTAAGAAAATGCTGATGCTTTAAAAGCTGTCCTATTTAGACTGCTGGGCTAAAAATCTGACTGCTGAAAAAACCCTGCTGGAATCTGTGCGAAGTTCTTCCAATCAGTAAATCTATTTTATAGCCGCTTGTACAAGAGTGCCAGTAGGGGAGGTGCCAGATGAATACATGCCAACTAGCCACTGTAATAAGAAGATATATAAAGCATTTCAATATATGAGGATCCTCTGGGGATCATCCTAACTTCTATGGGTTATCTTAATTGATCTGTGCATGAATGAATTGGCTTTAGAAATTGATCAAATAATCCACAGGGCAATCTCTGCTTACGAGATTTTACATTATAAATACCCGCACTTTACATGGGAACGATGCTTCTAATGTACAACAGCTAAAGTTCTATCTGCACTTTCTTCACAGTACAAGTTACTGACTGTGGCACTAGTGCCAGCAATTTCCAACATAACTGATCAGCACTAGCCATGATTACATACACAAGTTCAAAGCACTTTTGCACGATTTGTACAAAAAAAAAGAAAATCTAACCATGTTTTTTTTTCGATTTTATTAATAGAGTCTTTACAGTTCATGTGGCATTAGAGGCAGGCTGGCAATTTTGAGCATTATGAGGCCAGATCAAACATTGAAAGGACAGGGAGTTCTACATTCCATATCAAACGGTTTAGAAGCTTTTTGACAAGAAACAGGGCTCCTCACGACACTTAAAGTCCGCCTTCTCCACAGCTACATTGTTAATGTGGATTTAGCATTTCTGTATCAGTGTCAGTTTTGTCCTACATGGACAGGGGCGATTGGATGAGAATGCTGGGATGGGGTTACATCAGCCCTCTGTGCAAAACACTTTCATCCAGGTTATGAGAAACTGACATTTAATAATCTGGGAGTATTAATCCCACATTATCAATTTGGCTGAGGAGGTAGTTTCTGGTAGCTATGGGAAGCTGAATTTGGGCTGATGATGCTCAAACTATAGACAAGGTAAAAAAAAAGAGGAATTATAAGAAATTCTAAAAAATA